AAAAAAAAAATTTCGGACTTTATTTTATCTTCACGGTGAAAATGGCTACCGAATGCTATTATTGTGTGAAAATTCTCGATTTTATTTTTTACATTTTTAACTTTATAATGCTATGACATATTGAAAAGTGTATGGATCAACATTATTTTTTTATGAGAAATAATATTTTTTAATAATCCCTTTTTCATTCTACATACTTTATCTTAATTAGGATATTAATAATGAACTAGCAGATCATGTAGCTTTTGGAATAGTCCACCAATTTTTTAAAATTAAACAGTATCTAAAGATTTGCATCGAAGCGTTTTTTTTTGATAGTGATTTTAATCACTGTCAGATATCATTATACTTGATCCATCTATACCACGTCACCACTGTGCCGCGACCCCCCTGTTTTCAATTTTTTTTACTAAAAACTGCCGTAACTTTTTCAAAAATAAACATATGAATATAATTTTTTTTTTATAGATGCTTGATGTCTTTTCCTATCATTTGGTATATATTTTTTGTAAATTTGACCTTTTTTCTGCCCACAGGGGGGGATTGAAAATGACAACTTTTTCAAAAAAAATTAACTTTTGAAAATGTTCCGGAAGGGCTGACACTTTTATATATATCTTAAATTATAGCTAATGTAATGTACTTTAATTTGAAAAAAAAAATTTGACCTCTGGACCTGTCTTCGTGGTGAAAATAGACATCAAAGTTAATAATAAATTACGATTTTTGTAAAATAATTTTTTTTATATTTTTAACTTAATAATGCTATAACTTTTCGGAAAATGTATTGATCACTAAATTTTATTTTTTATAGATGCATAATATCTTTTCTTATCATTTGGTATATTTTTTTTATAAATCTGTCCCTTTACCTGCCCATAGAGAGGGGATTTAAAATGTCAATTTTTACAACAAATTAACTTTTTCAACTCAACTTTTGAAATTTTTTCGGAAGGTCTGACACTTATAAATACATCTTAAATTACAGATAATGTAATGTACTTTATTATGAATAATAAAGTAAAAGTAAAATAATCAGGATATTAATAAGGAAATAACAGATCATATAGCTATTTTAATAATCCACCAATTTTTTAAAATTAAACACAATTGTGTTTAAAAATCTAAAGATTTGCATCGAAGGGTTATTAAACACTATTAGATATCATTATACTTGATTCAACGATGCTACGTCACTACTGAGCCGTATCCCCCTTGTGCTGGGGTTTTTTTATTTTATTATAATTTTATTTTATTTATATTGGTTACCGAGTGCAATTTTTTTGTGAAAATTCTCGACTTTGTATTTTATATTTCAGCTTCGATGCGAAGCTGAGAAGGTATTGGTTCTACTATGATATGTTTTTTTTGTGTCTATTACCACTTTTTCTCAGCTCTCACCGAACGGATTTCTTTTAACGATACGTCAAAAGATCACAAATCGTATCTAGTCGAAGACATTACCCTTAAAAATTGAAAAAAAAGTCCCTCGTTCTCCGTAAATGGGGGAAACCTCTAAACAAATTACAAATTTAAAAATCGCTTATTTTCGAAATTTTTTCAATTTTTTTTACTAAAATGTGCCGTAACTTTTTCAAAAATGAACATATCAATATAATTTTTTTTTATAGATGCTTGATGTCTTTATCTATCATTTGATATATTTTTTTCGTAAATTTGACCCTTTATCTGCCCATAGAGGAGGATTAAAAAAGACAACTTTTTCACAAAAAATTTAATTTTTCAACTTAACTTATGAAAATGTTCCGGAAGGTCTGACACTTTTATATATATCTTAAATTAAAGCTTATGTAATAAATTTTAATTTAAAAAAAAAATAAATTTGACCTCTAGACTTATCTTCACGATAGATAGTGTTCGATACTATCTATGAATGCAATTTTGTACAAGTAAAAAATTTAATTGACATTTGAAACACATACAAGATTGTGGCCTTTGGCACATAGAACATAAATCAGAAATAAAACAATTTTTCACTTTTTTGGCACATAGAACGTTTGACACATTCACTCTTCAATTATTATTAGAAAAATACGGTTTAATAAGAGATTCAAACGTAAACCGATACAATAATATTGGTAAAGGAATTACGTTGTAAATTAAATAAGAAATTAACGTTTCCGATGAACTCCGAGAGAGGACTGCACGTATTAATCGTGATGATCCTCCGTTGTTGAACGGCAGTA